CCCGAAACATCCCGTAGATAAAAACGGATGAGGGGCAAGGGGATGACCAGGAGGCTGCAGAGCAAATATCCTGAATTGATACTCCACTGTACAGAGCGGTGGAGGAAGAGATCCCCCTTGTGGAATGAGCTGACAGTACAGCTGGAGGCTGCAAACCTGATGAGATGTAAGCCTGTGAAATCGCTTCACAAATCCAATGTGACAACCTCTGAGAGGACAAAGGTTGTCCTGCAGACTGCTCTCTGTAGTGAACAAATAAACACAGAGCGCCTGATCTGTGCCGTAGGTGAGACATAACACGAGAGTGCGCGCACGAGACATAGCAGGTGAGAAGCTGCTTCCTCTTCTGAATTATGAGGAGGAGGACAAAAGCCGCTCAGAGTAATAACTCTGGAGCTGTAAGAGCTTGTGATGCTCTTAGGCATAAAAGCTGGGTTGGGACACAAAGTCGCAGAGCCACCATCCTCCCGTATCCTGAGACAGGAGGGAGACACTGACAGGGCAGACAGCTTGCTGACTCTCTTTGCTGATGTTAACGCTAACAGCAGCGCTGTTTTTTGAGACAAAAACTATAATGAGACCTGATCCAAAGGCTCAAAAGGAGCTTTTGTTAAAGCACGTAGTACCAGTGTTAAAGTATGAGTGTGCGCATGACAGGTCTGCGCCTGCGCACTCCTTTTAAGAACCGTTTTACCAACGGATGATTAAAAAAGTCCTGTAACCAAAACCCTCGTGACAGGAGGAAATTGCCGCAGCATACGTCTTTAACGGTGCTGAAGGCTAAACCTCTGTCCATYAGCATCTGTAGGAAGGAAAGAATGCAGGACAAAGAGCAGGAAACTGGGTCTCCAGTTTTTTCTACACACCAGCGCTGAAAGGATGACCACTTAGCTGTGTAGGAAGAGACTGTGGATGCTGCGCGCACATCCTGGATGGTGCGCACCACATCAGCAGATAGACCCAGGTCTATTAAGCGTTCCCGCTCAGCGGCCAAGCCCAAAGGGGCTGGCCCAGTCTCGGGAAGCTCCTGATCGCTCCTCCCACCTGCAGGAGAGCGTCCTCCTGCCAGGGGAGTTGGGGCGGAGGGCCCGACAGTAATGACTGGAGGACCGGGAGCCAGTGCGCTCCCGTGTGCTCGGAAACGATCAGAATAACCCGCCGGCGGTCCATTCTGATCCGATCCAGTAGACGCGGGATCAGAGGGACAGGAAGGAAAGCACAAAACAGCTTGTCCGGTCAGGGACGGAGCGCAAAGGCGTCCACTCCCAGAGGAGGGTCGTCCCGTGAGCTCAGGGAGAAACCAGAGGTCACACT